ACGTAGGTTGCCTAAGTAACATTTCGCTTTCATTTTTGACATTGTCTTATCTTGTTCCAGTACATGATGTGCAGTAGATTGGGAATCAATTAACATAGTCTTATCTTGTTCCTGTACATGATGTGCAGTAGATTGCTCTGGTGTGATTAGGTTAGATGTTCTTAATGGGTCTACAGGCAATTCTTGAGTTAGTGGTGCAAGATGGCAAATAGAAACTGTAGATTCACGACCATTGGCATGCTTAATAAGTGCATATTGTGAATTTGCTTCTATCAAAAATACTTCATCTACATCAGATTCATACTTTGAATTTCTAACATGTCTCTTTAACAACATCTTTCCAGGTTGCACGAGCCATAATGGGATTGAGTGTCCCGTAGCAGAGCACCTTTGATATGTAAGGAGTCTCTCATGAGGAGTTTCATTAGTAGTAGTAGTGTTGATTAAAGACAGGATGGAATAAAGTACATCAGGCAAGACAACTTCCCAATATTTAATATTAAGGTTTTGTGATTTTAAGGCTATTTTGATTGTTTTCATGATAATACCATTGTACTGCTCTGCTTGACGGTTTCCCTGAGGGTTATATGGAGTAGTTCAGCTGGTGGCTATACCCTTTTTATGAAGGAAATCTTGGACATCCTCACTCATAAAAAAGGATTCTCTGTCAGAATGGATGTAAGCAGGCATACCAAAAATTGCAAAGAGCTGAGAAAAGCAATCGGTTACTGTGGTAGAATCTATGTTAGCACAAGGGAACACAAGCGGGAACCGCGAAAATTCATCAATGATGGTGAATATATATATATATATATATATATTACGGGTAGCTTTAATGAGTTAAGACTTTGACGGTGTGTAAAAGGACGGTTTGCTTTGTTGGCGAACTCGACAGTTGCCAGTAATAGATTTCACATTCTCTACTGAGAACAGTAGGTTGCGGCAACTAACAAAAGCAGTCATTCTGGTAACACCCGAATAACACATAGAATTATGTAATGACAAAAGAGTAGACAAGCTCATGGCTGAAGAGTACATACAAATAAAAGTATATTGTTTTATTCCTTTCCAGTATTATTCCAGTAATATTGTTTATTCCTTTCCAGTAAATGATGTCAAAGCTGTAACAAGAAAGCTCAAGACACCAACAATAAGTTTTATCGTTCTTGATCTTACTTATGTTATTTTTGTTAAACATAAATGATTCAGATTGTTGATCAGTTAAAAGCTTGAAGTGTTTGCCCGTTAGTAGGTGACATCAATTTCGGACAGATTTGATAATAGCACATGCTTCTTTTTCAATTGGGGGTGTTTAAGCTCAGATTGATGCAACAAACGCAAAAAAAAAGTAACTGGTCTGCCGTTTTGATTAAGTATTCCGGCAATTGCAGTATTGGAAGCATCAGTTTCTAACTCAAATGGTTCATTCTCATTAATAGAACACACAACAGAACATTCCATGTCTTTCTAAAGCGTAATAAATGATTCAATACATAAAGAGTCTAAAGGAAAAGATTTAACTTTAACTAATGGGGCAATATTTTTAGAGAAATGAGGAATCCAGCGTGAATAGTACGAAAATAAGCCTAATGTTCGCTTAAGCAATTTTGTATCAATAAGTACTGGCAGTTCTTGAAGTGATCAGATCAGAGTCTTTTGGTGTCTGGCTTGATTTGTTGATGACTGACTTCATAACCAAGAAGATTCAGGGATGTGGTAGTGAAAACACAATTTTCATTGTTGTAAGTTAAGTTCTTCGTTTTAGCAGCTAAAAGGAAGCGCTTTAAGTTGTAGTCGTGTTCTTCTTGTGTCATACCACAGATTGTCAAATTATCAAGCAAAAGTATCTTTCAATTTCTCTTTAGCAATAAAATTATCCATTGTTCTTTGGAACTGTGCCACTCCATTTGGTACATCAAATGGCATACAAGTAAACTGATGCAAGCCACCGTCAGCTTCAAATGCAGTATATAAGCAATCTTCTTGTTTAATTGAGACCTGATGATAGGCTGATTTTAAATCAATGGTACTAAAGTAACGATACTGAGATATTTTATTTACAAGTTCATCCACTCATGGTAGAGGGTAGGTGTCAAGACATGTAAATTGATTGATAATCTATAGCTATAATCTATAACTAGGCACTTTTTCGATCTTTCATTTCTTGTCACAACAACTTGTGATCTCCAGGGTGACGTTGAAGGTTCAATAATTCCTTCATAGTACAGGCGCTGTACTTCTGAGGTAATAAAGTTTCTGTCTTTGGCACTGTATTGGCGAGATTTTGAAGCTCTAGGTTTACAATCCAGTGTTAGGTTTTCAAACAGGATTAGAGGCTCTACATTTAATGTAGTAACTCCAACTACAAGAGGGTCTCTTATTTCTCCAAACTTAAGTGTTATTCTCTGCTGTGACTGGAAATCAATTCCTAGAATAATATCTGCACACAAATTGTCCATGACATGGAGTCTTACATTGGGGTAGTTTGTTTCATGAGTTGTTATATCAACTAAACAAATCCCAGTAACTGAGGTTGACAAGTAAGTCGATGCCATTTGTACAGAGCTTTTAGTTGATACTTTAAGTTTAAGTTGGTTGATAAATTTAAGATGAATAAAGCTATCTGAACTTCCATTATCGATAAGAGCTTTGATAGAT